ATTGGCGTTCTAACGAATTAAAACAAACATGCAAGTCACTACAAGCAGCAGCTCTGCAGAGACAGGTGCACATGCCGCACTGACATGTATGTGCACTCACATACTACTACTACTACTACTACTACTACTTCTACTACTACTACTACTACTACGGGCTTGGTGGTTCTTGCTCACCAGACACCACCAACCCCCACCACACCCCCCACCACGCCCCCACCACACCCCACGCCACACCCCCACCACACCCCTCACCACACCCCCAACCACAACCCCCACCGCAACCCCACAACACACCCCCCCACCACACCCACCCCACCACACCACCGCCCTACTGCCCAGGTTGCTGATCGCTGCTTCCTGGAAGCTCCGCCTGGCTTCTCATCTTGGACCGAGGCCACACACGGATTGGGGTTGTGATGCTTTTTTTCGTGGGCTGCTTTACTTTCCAGGTTTGGTTGGGAGTACAATGCAAGGATTCATTGTTCCGTGATTCAGCACGAGCATGAACCATGCACCCCCGACCTTTGGGAGCAACCGTGTGTTAACAAGCGTTAAAATTTTAACGCTTTTTAACGCTTTTTTAACATGGCCTTTAAAAGGCATTTGCCTTTTAAAAGCCGTGCTAAAAAAACGTTAAAAAAACGTTAAAATTTTAACGTTTTTTAACACCTTGTGCAGGTGATGGGTGGCACCAAGCGAAAGGCCGATCCGAAGACAGCGGTGAAGAGCAAGGCGAAAGCTAAGATCTCGAGTGCTCCTCCCTCTACAGCTACGAGCGAAGCAGGGAAACCATCACGCGAGGCCACATCGAGTTTCCTCACGGGGCTGAAGTACAAGTCAGCGAATGGCAAGGGCTCGGATAAGACCCTGCCCAGCAGCTGCTCCAGGCCAGGGTGGGTTATGCTTTAGGGGGTTTGGGGTTGCTGGGTTTAGGGTTTAGGGTTTTGGGGTTGCTGGGTTGAGGTTTGGGTGTAGGGTCGTGTGTGTTGGAACGGGCCGTTTTCGTAGTCTGGGGTTTGGGGCTTGGCAGTTTGGGCTGTAGGGTTTTGTGGTTTGAGGGTTTATGGGTTGGGGGTTGGGTATATCTGTAAACTATATACTATGTAGTCAGTACATATATACATATATATATATATAGATATGGTATTAATAATATGTATATATACATACATTATATATATATATATGTATATGTATATGTATGTATATATATGTATATATATATGTATATATATATTTATATTCGAATATTATATATATATGTATATATATATATAAAATATACTAGATACTATGTACATTCTCTCCCTATATATACATTATTATTATATACACCCTACATATTATATATATATATACATACATACTATATATACACTATGTGCCGTGATATGGGGGTTCAGGGTTTCGGGTGTGGGGGGATTTGGATGCAACACACCAAAAACCCTAAACCCTCGCAGCCTCAAGCCTTAGATCTTCTTATTCCATATCTAATATCCCTTAAACTTGCTGTCCCTGTCAGGTATATCACGATTCCGATGCATCCGCGAAGCACGAGCTCATCAACAACTACATTCGCGAGGGCGGGATAAAGAATTTGTCATGGGTCCCATCGTACACCGAGCATGCGATCACATCTACCGAGAACAAGCAGAAGGTGGAGGATGGCTATTTCACGATGGGCAAGATCTTCGAAAGGGAGGGCATCCAGCCCGAGAAGAAGCGGCAGGACATCGTGCTGGAGGCTATGAGGATCGAGAACTACAAGGAGCACAACATCGAGTACCAGGACATCAAGAAGGACCTCATCAAGGAAGTTGCCGGCTGCCCCGAGCTCACCAAGTACTTCTATGTCTTCGCGAAGAGCCAGGCCAATACCTTGCATCGCAAAGAAAGCGACATGGAGATCACGACGAACATCAAGGTTGGGCATTTGGGTGCTGCTTTGAAGGACGCGAGCAGCAGTTCGGGCGGTGTTCAGGTGAAGATCGAGAATCCGGAGAAAGTTAAGGCAAATCAACATGTGACGGTTTTGACCAATGGCAAAACTGCGATACAGAAGGTTCTCGACACCATCAAAGACGGCATCAGCACGCTTCAGCACGGCAAAAAACCTGAGTACAAGGACTTCGTGACAGAGGGCTTGAGTATTGTGGAGGAGGCGGACAAGTTCGTGGAGGCAGCACGCGAAAAGATTTCCAACCATTCCATCATGCAGAACGATGATTCCAAGACCGAAAAGGATTGGCAGGAGTTCGGCGACAAGGTGCAGCCCCTCATCGATGTGTGCTCGACTCATGTGGAGGGTCTTAAGCACTACAAGCTTCGCATGCAGGCCCTGTTGTAAGTCGCGGCGGGTGGCGAGAAAAAAGGGTTTAGGGTTTATTAGGGTTTAGGGTTTGGGTTGGAGGGTTAGGGTTAGGGTTTAGGGTTTGGGTTTGATGTTGTTGTTTAAAAGTTTTGGGTTGAGGGTTAGGGTTAGGGTTTAGGGTTTGGGTTTGACGGTTGGGGTTTGGGTTTAGGGTTTGGGTCTGATGTTTTTGTTTAACGCGATTCGTGGTGCAGCGAGGCCGATTGCTGGGACATCAAACCGAAACCCTAAACCCTAACCCTCAAACCCTAAACCCTAACCAACCCAAAATTTGAACAAAAGCAAAGCCTAAGCCTTGAACGCATGCAGTCATGTGTAATGCATGTTCGCATGTACAAATCCAAATCCAATCCTATGCCACTGATCCCAACACGACGTTTGCTATCATCATGTATTCGATTGACATCGACACTTAAATGTAGCACGGGGCTGCATGCATGTCCATCCAAAATAATGCCTAGCGATCGCGATCATGCAATAGCTAATCAATTAAACTTTGGATCAAACCGTGCACTCAAGCCGCGAACCCTCAGCTTCAAACCAAGCTTGCATTGCCTCCAGACGCCCGCCCTCAACAGAAAGTTGGGAAAACTTTAAAGTATGATATATATATATTATACTATATTCAATGTATAACATATTTAGAATATTTCAATTTTTTTCCAACTTTATGTTGATATACCAAGTACTCGTACCCTCAACTTAAACTTTAAACCTTGAGCTTGCCAGCAAGCTTCGAGATCGCAATTGCCACCCAACCAAAATAGTTGTAAACTTAGCTTAAGCCCGAAGTAAGCTCCATCGGTTAAAAAGCCCGGCCTTTTCTGATGTATGTTTGTTGCGACCCTCCGTCGATCGACCAATGTAGCCCCAAACCTTTATACGCACCCAGCCCGAATAATCAAAGTAACTATGTGCCTGAAGCTGTGCACCTGAAGTCGGCCACACTTTCATGCACCCCGAACCCAACCATAGTATCATAGGCCCAACAGCCGAGTCCGCAGCGAATTCAAAGCTCCCCGCATTTGTTCTTGATAAAAAGCACCAAAACACCTCGAAAACACCTCAACGTACTAACCTTAATTACTCTAGAATCCTTCAGGCACTCCGCCAGACAAGGCCATCAGTTGCAGGTAACATGGCAATCCGCAATGTAGCCCGGCATGGAGACTCCAAAACCCTTTGTATGTATTTGCATATACATGTTTAAGTTGACATATAGCCTATATCGATACCAGAAAAAACCTTTAGTATATGTATTTTCAATGAATGACATACGTTGGGATTTTGGAGTCTCCATTGCCATGTTCACGAAATCGTAGCCAGCTTTGAATACTAGTATGTCGCCCTGAACTCGGATGCCCAAAACGCTCGTCTAGGGTTGACTGTGCGACCATGTGCATGCCTTATGTGAACATGTCCATGCCTTATGTCAACATGGCGGGATGGAGAGTCGGAAAGAGTTTCTCGAAAGAAGAGATCAGCTTTCTAAGGACAGCCGGCTACGTGAAAATCTAGCCGATCTTTTCTTAAGTGGCGAAATCAGTGGGAAGCGGGCCCGCGGCCTGTACGAGGACGCAGGAGATGCCGAAGCTGTAAATGTTTCCGATGTGGCTTCGGGATCTACAGATCACAATGCACATCGCGATGTATTGAGAAGATTGCTCTCCAACACAAAATGGCCAGATCTTTTCGAGTGTGATATACCGGTATACAATCCCAAAACGAACAAAGAATCCTCCGCACAGCTTTCCATGATGTTACCTCACGAGGTGGTACATACGATGTGTCGCTGGAACCTCGACTCCATTGACAAGCTCGCATCGATGGAACATTTGAGGCCCGAGCTGGCACAAAAGATGGAGGAAATCCGCTCTTTCTTGCGAGGCTCGTCTGCTTCGAGCATACCGCTGGTCGGTATGGGCTTATGGGCAGACGGGGTGCCCATCAAGGGAGATAGAAGTGAGTCGTTGGAAATGATCACGCTGTCGTTCCCAGGGCTCGGGGATCGACAAACCATCCGCATCCCCCTGACTGCGATGAACAAGAAATTCTTCCTGAAGGACGGCCAAACTTGGGATGCTCTGTTCAAGGTGATTTCCTGGTCATGTCATTCATTGCTATCTGGGGTTTTTCCGTCGCACCGGTGGGATGGCACGCCTTTGCAAGGCAAAAGGGCCAGATGGGCGGGCCGTCCGTTGCATGCTGGAGGAGCACTCTTGGAAATCAGAGGCGATTGGGCTATGTTGAAAGCATCCTTTCGAATGCCGAGTTGGAGTTCCAAGAGAAATTGTTGCTTTGTCACCAAGGCTACACCGGAAACAATGCGAGATCTGGGTCCCGCTGCACCATGGAGGACCAAGCTGTGGAACAATGCCGATTCGCCGATATTCGAAGCACCATTCGTGGATATCCACACCTTTTGCATCGACTGGCTGCATTGTTGCGACCTTGGTGTATGCCAAGATTATTTGGGGAATGCCATGTGGTTGATCGCTACGAAGCTCCCGGGCGACACTATGGATCAACGAACCCGGGCACTTTTCGATGATATCCGCCAGTACTATGCTGCCAGTCGATGCGAGAACCAGCTGAGCACGCTTACGCCATTGATGCTTCGTAAGGCCGCCTCAAAGGCTCCGAAGCTGAGATCGAAAGCAGGAGAAGCCAGATCGCTGGTGGATTGGGTGGTGGCAGCATGCGATAAGTATTTGCAAGGCTCATACGGGCTGTCGTCTGAGGAGTATGCATGTCGTCTGGCATCGAAACATTTGCAGGCATGCTACAGGAATCTCCCTGCAGAGAGCTTCGATGCCGATGATCTTGCTTTCCATTGCAAGCAGTTCCTGCACTTGTGCCATGGCGGCATTTTATGTTAACACCCTAAACCCTGAGGCCAGTATAATGCAATTTAAGGTACATGGCA